CACACACACACACACACACACTCACACTCACTCTCACACACACACACACACACACTCACACTCACTCTCACACACACACACACACACACTCACACTCACTCTCACACACACACACACTCACACTCACACACACACACTCTGTCACGTGACTGTACTGTGTTTCTGTGTGCAGAAGGAGTATGACAAGCTGTCGTCTCAGAAAGACCAGGAGGAGAAACTCATCGTATCTGCCTGGTACAACATGGTGTGTATCAGCACTGTCACGAGATCATTTAGTTCAGTTCATCTTTTCACGATACAAAGATTCGACATTTCATTTAGAAGTAGCTCATCTGTGGTGACTGTCACAAAAATCATGCAGTTAGTTAATGACATGTACTCAAGCAAACGGTGAACACGATTAACAGCAATGATTATATGCTGTGATCAAACTTACAGCAAAAGGTGGTAGTTTTGTATGTTGGCATCATCTCTTTTCAGGTGTTCAGTCATCTGAGATCTTCGTAAGGGCTGGATCCAGACTGAAGCTTGTGTAATTCTTAGTTACCTCAGGATTCCCAACCCATGGCAGAAATAGAAAAGCAAATAGAGAAAAATTATGTAGCTGCTTTTCAAAGCAAGCAGAGAATGATAATGTGCATTTGATCTGATATAACTGGAGTACAAGGTTATGAGATGCATTATTTGAATGCTTTGCTCATCTAGATTTAAACCGAGAGAGTCTGTCTGAACTCTGAATACTAACAGGAAGGCTATTCCATAGTTTGGGGTTGCAAACGTTAGCTTACGGTTAGAGTTAGTGTTGTCATCATATTATCATCTCAAGCTTTTACTGCAGGAAGATCTTTACAGGTTTACAAACGCATCTCATGCATGTTAAACTCACAGCACACGCAGAGGAGTTCAGTAAATTCACTGAATCATGTGCTGTTTGTGTAGAAATAACCAGTGCTGTGCTTCAGTGCGACGGATTGCATACTTCATTCAAACACACACACAC